GTCACATTCATATACTCTTTCATAAAGGAGACAGCTAGCAGCAATTGGGACAGATTGGCATCCGTTTTTTCTTTCTTTTCAATTCTTTTTCTTCTCAATGGTCGAGCTAGCTATGTAATGTATCTGGATTTTATAGCAGCACGCTTATTCCGTTCTGTTGGTGCATGTGCTGCAGCAGCGAGCAGGACAGGGTACAGACGAAAGGCGAAGCTTTTGAATGTTAAATCTTAAAAATGAAGTCTCTGTAAACTCCTTAGCATGGATCTGACCTTTGTAGATTTCTTTTGACGGTTTTTTATAGGGAGAACATAACAATAAAAAAGGCCGGGCTTCAAGGAGCAGGAACTTACATACTCATATGGTTGGTCACATATCCTCTGAAGGCAGCACCTAAATTTAAACAAAATTATCGTATGAGTAGAGATACGACACTACCCGCATCAATGTATCTAACTGCATACTACATGAAGCAACATTTATGTAAAAAACCGTAGAATTGAAAGAAAACAAGATCTTGTACATGCAAGGACCGGAGCACACATATACACAAGTCTGAAATGTTCTTAGAAATGAACATATAAGTAGTTACTAAGAACAAAAAAAATTCAAACAAAAAAACAGAATTGATTGTTTAGGATTTCCAATCAACCAAGAAAGATGGGTTATATAGAGTATCTCCCAGACACTTGGAGATTGTTTCGTTAGTTTTCTGGGATTCGGCTCTTTCCCCTTGCTTCTTCTTCTCCCTGAGTAACAACAAGTAAAAATATCCAAGTTAGGCTGCTCTATATAAAAGTTTGATCATGCAGCAAGCACCATGTTTGCGCAAAATAGACCAATGCTTAATGTAGGTAGATAGGATTTAGCATCGATACCTCTCGACATACTCCTTGAGTAATTCCTTGGCTTGGACAAGCTTTGACAGCAGGTTGCGATACACATCGAGGTCCCGATCCACGCTTTTCTTGTTGATATTTAGGGATGCACAAAGCTGTTCCATGAGACATAGGTTAAAACTACCTCTAGGGAAAATGTGACATGCCAGAAATAACACCCTTGCACAATGCCATGGAACATAATGGATACACAAACATGCCATCTATGTAGATAGAGCAAAAACTATTGACATTCGTTCCTACCTCTAGAGCACTAAAATTGACATAAAAAGGAAAAGCAAAACCAAAATTGGTGATTTTGCAGGATGCTATAACATAATTAGATAAGAAATGGAAGACAAACTATATCACCTTGTCCAAGACAGTTGGGTCAGTTGCACCTGCAAGCTCAAGCAAACGAAAGAGGCCAACTGCGAAGAACCTGCTGTAGCTGAAGCCCTCATTACTCCCAGCTCTTGCTGCAATGTCCTTAAGAATTGCTTCGATTTCTCCGTCCCTAGAGGAAAACTCAACGAGTGAAGCAGAAGTCTGACTTCGGGCCCAATCCTCCATCTTCTGAGCATCAGTTCTGAGGCGAAGAAAAAAGGCACAAATTGTTATCCTCTTTTTTTATATATATATATAAGAAGACGTTGAGTAAGCAGCGATGAGAGATAGCTAACCGGTATTGCTTAGGGTCCTCATTCAAAGCTTCAACGTAAGCTTTAAAAATGGCATCTCGGTCCTGATCGCTCGGATAACCTTCCATGAGCTGATCGTATACAGTGACAAATCCAAGTGCAAAAACAGGATCGTAACGGTAAGTCCTCTTGTACCTCATCAAATGCTGCTGTACAATGAGCTCCTGCAGAACCGTGTTGTAGATACTGGGGATGGGTCGCTTGTAAGCTTTTAGGAAATTAGACTTTGTCTCGGATACAGGAGGCACATCTGACCAAAATCAACAACACAACCAATAAATAAAAAATCCTTCTCTTGCAATGCAGCATGAAAGTCCCAGGGATGGAATTCGAATGACATATAAGCTCAACTGAAAATAGAGGGGGAGAGAAATAGACCGGTAAGAGTGGACATGCAGTGAATAAAAGATCTGGAAGTGGAAGTGGAAGGCTTAGAGCAAGTCAAAGAGTGGCTAGAAAACCGTCGAATTGCAGCGGAGACGGAGGCGAGAGGGCGAGAAGGCGTGAAATTGGAGATCTTTTGCGATTGTCCCAACGCTGGAAAGGAAAGAGAAGAGATTGCAGCCATTGGAAATCGAAGAGGGAGAGAGAGAGAGGATTCTTGTTCTCTCTTTAAGCAGCCATGGTTGGTTCGGATCTTCTGAGCTTGGACTTGGAGGGCTTATCCAACTCCACGAGTTGTCAGTACTCTGACACGTGTCTCAATTGGAAACACCTTGTTAGGCCCAGAAGAAGGCCCGTATACTTTGTATTTTCCTAAAGCCCAGTTCAAACGCACACGTAACGAAGCCCATAAAGAAATGGTGGTGCTCTTTCTCTTTCTATTTCTATGGCAAGAAGAATAAGATCAAGTACAAAAACTGTCTCCATCCAAATCACAAGCCATACAACTAACTAAACTAAGCAATCAATCCTAACCATCTCTGTATGCATGCATAGCATAGATATATAGTACTACTACAACTAAAGATAGACGCCAATGTGCAAAGCTTCCAAATTATCAGAAGAAGGGAGAGGAAGAAGAGTTTTGTGAATCTTCCTTGGAGATGGGAAAGTGGTAATCATCCCAGAGAGGGCTTCCAGGTCCCCACTCCTCTGGAATTGCATTGAACCATTCCTCAGCCCACCCCGTCTCCTCCTCCTCTCTCACTGCCACTGCCACTCCCCCTCCTACTGCATCCTTTCCTCTCTCGCTTGCCTCTTCACTTGCAGCCGGTTGCCCCGAGTTTGTTGCCTCCTGCTTATTCAGAAAAAGCTCCGGGAAATTAAGCCTCGCGGTCTCGCCTCTCAGCTTGAAGGCCTCCCGGTCGTAGGCCATGGCGGCTTCCTCTGCTGTATCGAATGTGCCGAGCCAGAGACGTGTCCTGTTTCTTGGCTTACGGATCTCTGCTACCCATTTCCCCCAGTGGCGTTGTCTCACACCTCTGTACAGCTTGGTGGCGCTGAAGGGTTGGACCGGCGGCCTAACCAGATCCCCTTCTTGTCTTAGCATGTTCATCATCATCCAGTACTGCAGCATA